CTTCAAGCGTGGAGTGCTGGCAGGGGGAAGCAAGCCCGTGATCCAGCTGTTCCCCTGACCCTCTGGCTCTTCTGTGCCCTTTCCAGCTGCCAGAGCAGGAGGTTGTGAACTTGTTCATCCCAACACAGGCAGTGGGGGCCATCATTGGGAAGAAGGGGCAGCACATCAAGCAGCTGGCACGGTTTGCTGGTGCCTCCATCAAGGTGAGCAGGAATAAAGGGCTGGGCCAGGGCTTTGTGCCTCAGTTTTCCCTTCCCACTGCTGAGGGCAGAGAAGGGAGCCCTTGGTAAATGATTTTGCTGCCCAAATTAGTAGAAACCCAGTCCTGCAGCATCCTGATTGTCACCATTCCTCGGGTGGGGGGGTGTCTGTGTACAGGAGGTGTCCCTGCATGGGGGCACATCCCACACAGGGTGGCTCTTCCCCGAGGAAGGTCACACTGACACCCCTCCCCATCCCTCCGCAGATCGCCCCGGCAGAAGGTCCCGATGCCAGTGAGCGCATGGTGATCATCACGGGGCCACCCGAGGCTCAGTTCAAGGTGCGATGGCCACAGGGTGGGGGCTGACTTGGGGACATGGGTAGGGGTAAGGTGACAGCATCCCTTTGGTCCCCACCGTGCCAGGGGAGCTTCTCAGCTTGGTTTTGGTGCTGTTGGACATTGGCACATCGTTGCCTGCAGGAATGAAGGGCACAGCAGGCCACCTCCAGGATGCTGCCCACCACCTCTATGTCCCTTTTGTCCCCTCTCCAGGCCCAGGGGCGAATATTTGGGAAGCTGAAAGAGGAAAACTTCTTCAACCCAAAAGAAGAAGTGAAGCTCGAAGCCCACATCAAGGTGCCTTCCTTCGCTGCCGGCCGTGTCATCGGCAAAGGTGGCAAGACGGTAGGTGGGGGTGTGTGGGCTTGTCCTGGTTTGAAAGACAGGTGTCTGCTAAGAAAGGCAGAAGCCTCTCTTGAAAAGAAAAATGTAAACCCCCTCCATCCAAATTATTATAATTTTGAAATTAAGGGGCTCTCAGGCAAAGATATGGGACTAGGAGCAACAGTACTTTATTAAGAAAAATGAAATACAGTAATACAAAACAACAAAACACTGACAGAGTCAGAATCCAACCTGAGACCCCATCAGTCAGTCAGGGTGTTGGCAGCAGTCCCATTCAGTGGTGGCTGCATCCTCCTGCAGTGACAGATGTGGTTCTGGTGGAGCAGTGCTCCTGGAGAAGGTGCAGTTTTCCTCCAAAGCTCCAGTGATGATGAGGAAGGGTCTGTTTTTTCCTCTGGAATCCAGTGGGAAAAGGCTGCTCTGATATTTTAAATCTCAGTTTTTATCTGGGTAGGGAATGCTTGGCTCCTCCCCCTGGGTGGAGCATCTCCCAATGGGATGATGGAATTTTATCAGCCATGCTCTGGGACTCCATGGCCCATTAAGAGAAGATACCTCCTGGAGGAAGGATGGGTTGTGGAAAAGAACACTGCCTCACTTGGTTTTAACAGATGGTGCTAGAATACATATTTTTGGCCACATCCTGTATTGCAACCCAAGGCAGGGCTCCCACCTGCCCCAGGAACAGAGAGCTGGACATTCCCTGTCACCCATCACCTCTGTCCAGGTGCTCTGTGCTATCAGTGATGTCTCGGTCCCACCCCTGTGTCTTAGGGGTGGCTCTTGGATGGCTGCCACCCCAAGGGGACAATCCATGGCAGCCTGGCTCAGAGAGGTGGCACCAGAAAGGGAGGATTTGGGCTCTTCCACAGCAAAACCTGGATCTCTGTTGCTTGCAGGTGAACGAACTGCAGAATTTAACGAGCGCAGAAGTCATCGTGCCGCGAGACCAAACCCCGGACGAGAACGAGGAGGTCGTCGTCAAAATCATTGGGCATTTCTTTGCCAGCCAGGTAAGGTTTGCTTGGGCCTCTCCCAGCAATCCCAGTTTAAGGAAAGCCACCAAGCACAGCGTCCCCATAGCTGCTCTGAGTGGTTTCTGTGCACTTGAGGGGTTTTTGGCTGCATTAAAATTAAAGATTGGCTTGATCCAGCTGAAATCCGTGCCTTGGACGTGGGGTGGGAATTGGCTCCTGCCCCCCTACCTGGGTGCACCTGACCAGGATGGTTCCTGGCTGCAAGGGCGTGGTGATACCCCAAAAATCAAGGCTCTTGAGCCATGGAAGAACAAGCCAAACCTTTGCTTCAGTGATGCCTAGAGGAGCTGGAACAGAGGCTAGACAGGGTTAAGAGGAATAAAATGGATATTTATTGAGAGGCCTTCAAAGGTACCAGTGCCACAGTCGTGGCCCTGCCCAGGTAGCTCCAGGATGGAAGCAAAAGAGGGCTTGGTCACGAGATCTCACATTTTTACAGGTTTTAGTCCATTAGCATACAGAAGTCAACTGTCCAATTAATAGCCTCAAATCATGAAGTTTCATCCTCCTTGCTTGCTTCCTTGCCCACCCTCCTCTTTTCACGTTGTTTATGCTTAGGGCCTGAAGTTTGAAGAGACTGAGTCCCCAGCTGGAATAGAACTGTTTTGTCTTCACCACCCTGTGAAAAGATCCTAGTAACTCTTAATATAAAACGAAAAGCTGCACACCCGAGCAGAACAGAACAACATAAAACTCAAGGCATCATTAGCACATCCCCATTTGTCACAGAATCCCTTCTGTTCTTGTGCTTGGTGGGGGCTCAGCTCCGTTTTCTTGCCTTTCCCCCGCAGACTGCCCAGCGCAAGATCAGGGAAATCGTGCAGCAGGTGAAGCAGCAGGAGCACAAACACGCTCAGGGAGCCGCGGCCTCGCAGCACAGCAAGTGAGGCTCCCGCCAGCACCGCCCGACGAATGTAAGCCCCGCTGCCACCACCAGAGCCCGGCAGGGCAGGGGACAAACCAAAGAGCCCCGAGCCCCCCCGGCAGCCCAGAACCGGGGCACGGGGCGAGCTCTCCACCCCGCAGCTTCCGCCTTACTCCATCGCCGCTCCCCCGTCAGCTGCACTAACACCGGCACAGAGAGGTGGTTTTTTTATTTTGCAGTTCTCCCCAAACCTGCCCGTTCCACCCCGGAGGAGCCTAGGGGAGGGGGTGCCGCGGCGCTCGTTAATTTAGAATTAATATATCCGTAACGAAACTAACGCCGGTTTTTAAGTTTTGTAAGGTTTTATTTTTTAACTCACTTTTTAAAAAAAATTTTTTTTGGGGGGGGGAGGGGGCTGTTTGTTTTTAGCAAAAGCAGGCTTTTCTAGAGGTTTAATGGCAGGAGCTGGTTCATTGGTTCTCTAATGCACCGTAGAGCAGAGCTGTAGGATCGCCAGCAGGGAAAAAAATACTAAATAACTGTTAAAAAGCAATTTCTGAAGGGCTTTGAGAAGAGCAGGGCCTGTAGGAGCCAAGAAGATTCCTCGTGTAGGAATTATTCCTCTCCTTCACACACCTTTTTCTCTTTGCTTTGGACTCCAAAGCGGGGTTTGCATCCGTTCTGTCCCCCCTTTCTGTCTGTCTGTCCTCTCTCCATCACTGCCCAGCACTGACATCCCTGGAAAATGATGGGCAGCACCAGCCCTGCCCACTTTGGACTGGGATCTTTGGGGAAAGATCTCTGTTACAGGGAGAGGAGGGGGAAATGGGTGAAAAAAAATGGATATACAAGAGGTTGTCAGCCCAGGGCTGGAAAACCCAACCAGCAAAATTGGCTTCAAATGAAAAATAACCCAAATAACCCTCTCAACACACACACACACACACACACAGAAAAACTACCTCAGGTTTTCATACCTCAGCACCTTGCGCTTGTGTTGCCCTTTTAGAGATTTTTGTATGCCTTGTAAAACTGATAGTTGGAGCATTTTTTTATTTTTGTAATAAAAAAAAAACGAGTTGGAAAAATGATCTCGACCAAGTCAGCTGCGAGGTGGAAGAAGGAAACCATCCCCTGTGTCCCAGAGCTCTTCCATAGCCTCCTGCAAGCCAAGAGCCAGTGGCTGTTCCTTTGGAGAAAGCTTGAGAAATGGTTAAAAAGAAAAAAAAAAAAAAAAGGGAAAAAAAAAAAAAAAAAAAAAAAGGGAAAAAAAAAAAAAAAAAAAGCCAAACGCAAAAATAAAAAAAGGGTTGAAGCAAATGCAAGTGATGGATGGAAGTGGTGAGAGCTGACGGGCAAGAGCAGGGATGGGAGCACCGCTCCCGTGGGCTGTGAATCCGTGTTTTCCTCTACTGCAAAGTGTTCTGTGAAAACCAACCTGAGACACCAACAAAAAAAGAGAAATATATCCAGCTACCCAGAGCCTGAGCCTGCTCTCCGTTGCTTTCTTTGGGGTCCCTTTCAGTGGTCGTGGCTGGGAGTTGCTCCCTGGTGCCCAAATCCCAGCTGCCAGGGAGGGAAGGGCTGGATGTGGGGGGTGCAGGCAGTGCCAGGTGGAGTTTTATTGGGAAGTGTTGCCATCATGAAGGCACCTCTCCCTCCTTGCACATCCCTGGATGGCACATCCAATGGGGAAAGGTGCTAAATGGGGCTGGGATGGCCTTTGGGGGCACGGTGGGGCTGGGATGCTGACAGGTACCACAATGAGGGACCTTCCCTCTCCATGAGCCCCAGAGCCGGGCTCTTCCCTCCCACCCTTCCAGCACGACAAAGTGGCTCTGGTGGCACCTAGGCCAGCCAAAACTGCAACCCCAAACAGGGAGAACTGAAGGGGGAAAATTACACCAAAAACATTCCCAGCTGCTGCATCCTCAGGGAAGATTAATTAGATTAAAAAGATCCCTGATTAATTATTTGTAAGGATAAAATACGAGTGTCTTGGGAACTGTTGGGCCTTTGGAGAGTCTGCCCCGAGGTTGGGGGAGATTGAACTCATCAGTGAAAGCAAAGAAAAAGCAGCTCTGCTGGGATCTTATGGGTCTTTAGGTCAGGAGCAGCACAGTGCTGTCCCTGCAACAGCCAACATGAGAGGAGACAGCCCCTGTTCTCCTTCAGAGGGGGAGCAAATTAAAAACCACACAGACACAGCATATCAATTTTGAATTAAAAAATAAATTACTCTCTTAACAAGTAATGTTCTCATACAATAAGGCTCTTACATAAGTTAATATTTATCTTATCTCAGCTAAACAATAAGAAATAAATACTACTCTTTAACAGAACAGTGTTTTTCTAACAGTGCATGTCTCCCAGCAGCTGCTTATGGATTATCTCCCACACCATCTTCCTGCGGAAATAAGGCATGTGCTCCTGAAAAGAAACAGGAAAAATCCATCACAAAGGAAGCCAGGGAAGAGAGAGAGAGAGAGAGGGGGGAATCTCAATTAACACCCAGGGAATTCCTGAATGGGAAGCTGCTTTTGAGCACCTGCCATTTAGGTACAAGGTGGATTTCACATGAGGGTGACACAACCACCCAACAAAACCACATTTCTTTATAAGGATATTTATTACAGATCAGAAAATAACCAGGATCTGAGCTTGTCCAAGGGGGAAACCTATTTCACAAAGGCCAATACCAAACCACTGGCTGCAGCATCCTGGAGTGGGAATGCAATGATCTTTACGGCCCATTCCAACCCAAACCACTCTGGCATTCCCCAATTCCATGATCTTGCCCGAGAAGCAGACACCAGACACGAGGAACAAACCCTGAGCCCCTGCCCCAGCTCCCCTGGCACTCCCATGGGTGTGGAGCTCTCACCGCAGTGAAGGTGATGGGTTTGTCTCTGGAGATGAAATCGGCAAATTTGCAAGTAAAAACTCCACAGTCACTTCCATTGTTTTGTTGAGGGATTTCCTGAGGAATACAACAAAAACAGGGAGAATTTTTATCCCTCTTGAAAGAACAGTAATTTGGTTCTAGCACACATCACCCACACCTACTCCTGAAAACTTATTTCCATAATCCATTTACTGCTCCCAAATCCAAGGAACAGTCCCAGTTAACTGCACATCATCTCCCTCCTCTGCTTGCCTGGAAGGTGTTAAACCCTCTGTCAAGAGGAGTTCTAGCTCCCATTTCAAATCCAGGCATTGCTGCCATACCTCCGTGCCCATGCTGTGAAGGGTCCACTCAGATGCAGTCAATTCAATGTTTCTTTTTTCCCTGCTTTCCTCTTCCAGGTATTTTCTGTGGAAAAGAACACAAAAATCATTTTTCATCTCCCTAATTTAGGGCAACAACAACAAAAACAAAAGCTGTTGAAAGGTGACAGGAAGATAAATCACAGTGAAATGCTAGAGGATCCTCACAGCAGTGGATTTTAGGAATGTGGAGGATAAATCCCAATCTTAGAGACACAGTGAGGAGCCCAGTCCTGTATAATATCTTTATCCATGACCTGGACAAGGAGATGAGGCACAGTGCTCAGTGCTTTTGTATGTGACACCTGGGTTGGGAGTGTGAGGGCAGGAAGGCTCTCCAGAGGGATCTGGGCTGGTGACAAGGTAAGGATCAGTCTGGGTTGGACTCAATGACCCTGGAGGGCTTCTCCAATCCCAGTGATTCTGGGGTTTGTCTCTGTGGGGCTGCTCTCATCCTATAAAGCTGCTGGATGAAGGGTTTTTACTGACAAAGACACATCAGGATGTGCAGCACATGTGAAAACTTGCACCTCTGACACTCCAGGGGATTCAAAATACTGAGCAGACAGAAGAGGTACAAACGAGGAGCACCATGGGGCAGGGCAGAAACACTTGACTGGGGAGAGGACAAGGCCCCAAAAACAACCAAAAGGGATAAAAAAGCAGCTACTCACAAGACAGTTTTGCAAATGTGGTCTCCTCTCTCTCCCAAGGAGTCAAAGTATTTGATGGTTTTCTCTCGGAGGTCAACGACCTGGGGTTAAAAGGCGACTTAGACAAAGCACACCCCGAACACTCCAGGACTTTGCCTGCTAGTTTGTTCTCTCCATCCCCTAAATAAAAAGCCAGTCTGACTCACCAGCAGCGTCCAGTGAATTCTAAGGTGAATAGGCACCAAGATGACATCATGCTCAAAGATATCCACACCTTTGGTCCATTTCTTTACTCCCTTGTGGCTTGTAGAGCTCAGCTTGGAATAAAAGAAGGTATTAAAAGCATAGACTGATGGATATCCTTCCTTCTTGCTTCTTTCCACCAGAAGACTCATGTAGAAATTAATGATCTGGAGCAGAGAGAAGGAAAGAGAGATGTGAAATAAGACACTAAATTAAAAAGACAGTAACATGTCTTTGCTGGCCACCCTCGAGCTGAGAAAGCTCCAGCTTGGCAGCTCTTGCTCCCAGAATTTTACACTGGGGGAGACTTGTGCTGCTGGTTAAAGCCCCCACACCCACTCCAATAACCCAGACTGACTCCTGGGAGCTGCATCATCCAAGTGAAAGCTTCCAGAAACACCAGCCCACACAGTACCCAAAATAAGGAGTGTACAGCTATTTCTGGGCTCTGCAGTGGAGCTCCTGGAAGACTCCTGTGCCCAGGGAGGGGGGATTTCCCAGCAAGTGCAGGATCCCATACCTTGTCGTTGAGCCAGCCCGGGGGCTGCAGGGTGCTGATGTCCTCACGGGTGACAGTGAGCTTGAAGGCCTTGCTCAGGATGTCCTCAGGCTCACCACTGTCAAAGGCAGCAGAGACCTCACGTTCCATGGCCTGGAACAAAAGATTCAATGGGGAAGGGCTCACGGAGCAGCACATGGAGCACACCAGCCCCCCAGAAGGCCTCCAAGTGCAGCTCCAGTGCCAGAGCAAGGAGCCTTGCAGGCCTTTGCTGAGCCAGCCACAGCTTGCTGCTGAGCACAGGTACCTCTGTCAGTGGAGCCAGATCATTTGCTGGCTTTTCTGGGCACAGCAGTGGCTCGCTGTCCACAAAAAAGAGGTCTTTGGACAGGACAGGTGTCACATGGAACTCGAATAGCTTTCCTCGGGGGACTTCAGCTTCACGCTGGCCCTGCCAGGCACAAGAAAAAGAAGTCAGAGAAGCACAAGGAGTTTGCTGGGGGGACAGGGCAGAGAATCCTGCAAGAAACTGGGAGGGGTTGTGTAAACACATCCCAGCAGCAAATCCCAAAGCCACGTTTGATTGGTGACTGCATTCCAGGTGTGCCCAGACAGGCAGGACTTCCCTTGGGCTTGGATTAACCACCTGGACCCCAGCAAAGCCTCCATATGCAGGTATCAAGCTGAGATCAAGATAAGTGTTTCTGATTTGCACACTTCAAATTTTAAATTTGGATCTCAATCCTGAGCAGAGATGAGTTATATTTTCCAGAAAACAAAGTGAAGTACTGACTAACTCAAGCTTACCACTGAAGCAGCTCGTTTCTCTTGTCTTCCCTCTCCATGGGAGTCTTCTGGTGGTGTGTAGTAGCTGCCAGGAGAGAAAGAGAAGTGAGCTGGATATCCACACTGCCCCATGAAATTCCCCAAAATTCATCTTCTGCATAAGAAAAGCTTTTTCAAGGCCAATTCTGACACATAACATCCCAGTTTCCTTCCCCATTCCTTTTGGAGCAGCCAGATTGGGATAGATGAAGAGCTGGAAGCTTTGCAGACTTTCTTCTACCATCAGACACCAAACTCCTTTTCTTTCTCAGTTTTAATCTTTAAAACAGGGAAGCAACCAGCACTTCTTCTATCAACTGCTTTGTGATCTCCTGGTGACAAATGCCACTCCACCAGTTATTTCCTCTGCTCTCTTGAGCTTAGGGGACAGTGACAATTTAACTCAGGATAAATGCACAGCTCAATACAGTGCTCGTGTCTAAGGGGGAAAGAACAGGGACAAAACAAACCACCAAACCAAACCTCTCTCTGCCCCCATCTGCACTCCTCCCTTAGATGTCTGCCACACCAAAATCCCTCCCTGGAGCTGCAGCCCAAAGCCCCTTTCCCCTCCACAAGGAGCCTCCTGCACTCCCATCCTGCCACCCAGAGTCCCCTGGCCCCTGATGAGGGATGGCAATGTTTCCTTTTTGGTCTCCTATTCCAACCCAAGGCATCCTGCAGGCCTCAAAACCTGCCTCAGTCCCCCCAGGCTTTACAAATTCCCTACTCCTTCTGCTCAGGATCCACAGGAAATGCAGAGTCAGCTCATTAATGGTGTGGCACAAAGACACTCAGGAGCAAAAACGGATTTTGGAAACCCAAGGACAATTTGGTGTGGCCACCACTGTCACCCATACTTCCTTCCCCAAAAAACACCCAGCACATCCCACAGCTGCCCAGCTGTGAGAGGGGAGCTGGATTTGAGGGACAACTGGATGTGAGCAACTCCTCAAACCAGCTGCTCCTCTCCCCCAGCACTGAGACACTGAACAGAATTGGTCTTCTGGAGGCTGAAAGAGCCAAAAGAAACAAGAGCCATGGTTAAAAGAGACTCTTACCTGATCATGACACCTCTCTGAGGCAGCTGGGGGCTGAAAACATCCCCATGTTTGATGCCTGCAGGGAAAAGCAGCAATATGAGAATAAGGAGGTCACTTCCCATTCCAGCAGCTGCACAGAGCTCTCAGTTTCTGGGTGACATCACAGACATTTCATTAGTATTTTCAACTTAGAAGTTCAAACTCTGGCATCTGCTCAGAAATAATTTCAATCCCAATATGATCATGTCACAAAGTCCAAGATTTTCTAAAAGAGCTAGTGATGAAGAAGTACTTAAGTAATGAACAAGGGGAAAAAAAAAAAAACTGGGACAATACTAAACATATATGTAATTAGTCTACTTGGTTTGGAAGCTCTGCTTTTATGGAAATAGTCCTGTCTAGCATTAAAAAGTGATTAAAGTGCAGCTCTGAGGGTGCAGAGTCAAATATCCCCCTCCTCTGGTACAAAAAGAAAAACAAACAGGTAAAACAGGTACTACAACCTTCTCCTGTGCAGTGGGGACACATCCGAGCTACAAACTGCACAGCCACAGTCACAGCTCTCCAACACCATTTTAAACCAATTCTTCCCCTTCAGTAAAAGCCTCACAAACCCACTTTAGCCAATAACTAGTTTGAGGAAATGCCCTGTTTGAAGGGTTGGGCTTCTTCCTACAGAGTGGAGCAGACCTGGGTCCTGGGGATACTCACTGGTCCTTTGTGGCACGGGTGGAGAGGCACCTCTGGATTTCTGCTCTTTCAGGGGACTCCCAGTCATCCTTGGTTCCTTGGTTGGAACTCTTTGGTGTAGCAGAAGAAAAGGACAGAGTTTTTACAGGTGATTTATTACCAGTGCAGAGGACACAGCTATTTGTACAAAACTAGCTAAATGAAAGCAATAAATATATAAAGTAAAATTAGGCAGTTTCATCCTTAACAGAACCATGCTGTCAGTGGTTCCATGACCAGATGCAAAGGACATTCTGAGGAGTTTACATCCAGAAGTTTGGCCACCTTCAACTCAGGCATAGTGAACTTAAAAGAGTCACATTTTCTGTCTCTACTATTCCAAAAGAAACTCAATCATCACATTTGATTCTGCCCAGAACCCTGAGACTAGGAAAGATCAATTCTCCTCCCCTTCCACATACAACAAACTCACTACCAGAAAGTTAAGTGTTATTTTGCTCATAATTACTTGTTGAGTCTTGATAGCCGTGGAGAGGTCAGTTTTCCAGCATATTTTTCCTTGAACAGACTCAAGAGCTCTTTGTATTTCTTGTTTTCTGCCTGCTGAACATCCTTGCAGAAGGGAAGGAAAAAAAGAGACTTTAGATGGCATTCCTTTTGTCTTGGCCTAACTGTACAGGAACTCCACTGCTGTTTCCCCCCAAAATAATTCCCTTCTCCCCAATTTACCTCTTCAGCAGCACACAGAGGCCTCCTGGTGCCACTGACTCCTGGAGAGCTGGGACCTGGCTCCTTAATGGGGGGCCTGGGTGTGACAGGGCTCTCCAGAGCAGCTGGGATGTAGTTATTCTTGCTCAGGCTGAAAACATCAAAGGCACAACAAACAGGATTAAGAGAACATTCAAAACTCCTGATGTAATAGTTAGGTTTTTAATTAACACCTCCTGATTCAAGGAGGCACAGCAGGCTAACATCTCCATGGTCAGACTCCACAACCCCTCTAGGTGACCTGTGGCAGGAGCTGAACACCCTCAGAGGAAGAAAGAAAAAAAAAAAAAAAGTGTTTCCCAATTGAAATTCTCTGGGGTTTTTTTTTTGAGATTTTCTTTTTTTTTTGTGGTTGAGGGTTTTTGCATTCCTAGTCTCAGCCTCCTCCTAAGTTCACCACTTCCTCCTACCACAGGAGGTGAGAGTGTTGTATACTTGCTAATCTTTCTCTGATCTCCTGAGTCTATAAACTATGTGGATTTAAAGGGAAAGTTTGAAATAGGTCAAAGGCAAGAGCACAGCTCTGAGACCTCTCTCAGTATGGCAGGCAAGAGGAGTCCCAGAACACCTGGAGAAATGCTGCTCTGTGGACACACACACACATGTTGGGCAACACAGGAAGCTCAAGGATGAAAGTGAAAGGCAAGATACTCTGCAAAGCAGAAGTGAAAGAAAACAGAAGGATTTTCACCTCAGATATGGAGCTCTCTTGAAAAGAGAGGGTGGTGTTTCCTCAGTCAGGCATGGGTTGGTATCACAAGGCATTTTGTCTGTAAGAGAAGAACACAAGCCATCAGTAACTAGTCAAGAAAATATGAGTTTTATGAGTTTGAAGAGATTCACTAAAGATCAATTACTTTCATTTTATGCCTCACGTCCTAATATTACTTGTGTTATGTTGCTTCAGGATATTTTCATATTGGCAAGTACAGAATGTTGCCAGCCTAAGCCTAATACAAAAGGGTCCTGAGGCTCTAGTACCTAAAATCAGCATTTATAACAATTTCTTTCTGGCAAGCTAGCAGTGGGACACACTAGAACTGCATCCAAGGCAGTTAATATCTGAGATGACAACCACACGAGCATCCTGGGATAAACCATAGGATATATTGAGTTAGAAGGGACCCACACGATCATCCAGTCCAACCCCTGGCCCTGCACAGACACCCCAACAATCCCACCCTGTGCATCCCTGAGAGTGTTATCCAAGTACTCCTGGAGCTCTGGCAGCCTTGGGGCTGTGCCCATTCCCTGGAGAGCCTGTTCCCAGCCCTGGCTCTAATCCAGAAGCAATACCAGGATGAAGGAAAGAAACAGAGCTCACCCTCCACTATTCTTGGGTGCTACCCAGATATTTTGCCTTCAGCAACCAGCCCCCAGGCTGGGCAGAGCTGCCCAGACTCAGAGCAGCAGGAGAAAGGAATGAATGAAGGATTTGCTGTCATCCCTACCAGGTTCTGTTGTGTCCTCATCCTCTGCAGATGCTACAAATGAAGAGTCAGAAGAAATGAGCACAACCTGAAATAACAACAAGTACCAGAGTGAGCATAACCTGAATGTGAATCCAAGCAAACACAACCCCTTCCTGAAATTGAGCCAGCTGTGCTCTGACTCAGGGCCCATGGTTTTGCTTGGGTTGCAGCAGAAGGCAGGGGCACTGATGGCACCACTTTGGTAACACAGGCTCTCACACAGGCAGGGATTGTGGGAGCTGATCCCCGAGCTCCCCTCAACATCCTTGCTCACCTCATCTTCAGAATCAGAGAAGGAGAAGTCATCTCTCTCTTTAGTCTCCTGGCTTCTACTTGCTGCCTTAAGTGGCAACTTGGCAGCCCCAGAAACCTCTTCAGGCTCCTTGTTAGCCCCAGAGACACATTCTGGAAAAACCACATCATCAGACCATAAAGAATGGGACTGGAAACAGGGGTTGGGATTTCTGCTTAGACCAAAGCCCAGCTCCTCGATCCCAGGTGGAGCAGATAACTCATTTCAACAATACTGCAACAGCCCATCAATGGGGATCTTGTTCCCAAGTAGGAATTGGGGAGCTCCACATCCCCCATGGAACAGCAACAGCCCCTGGAGGGCTCAGTACCAAAGAGACTCAGGACATCCCATGCCCTGCCCCAGCCAGGATTTATCCTTGGTGTAAATACATGGCCCTCCCAGGATGGAAAAAGTTGTTCCCTGATTCTCTTCCTGCCCTCATCTGACCAGGATCTCCAATCCTCCACTTAGTTTGAAAACCACAGAATCACTAAGGTTGGGAAAACCCTATGAGGCTATCAAGGCCAAGTGTTCCCATAGCACTGCCATTGACCCATGTACCCAAGTGCCATATCCATGGACACTGGGACACATCATCAACAGGCCCAGGCGCTAAGAGATCCCCTCCAGCCACAAGAAGAGCTCAAAAATCCTCAGTTTCAGCAGCAATTCTGAAGTACCAAATCCAGAGACCCCCAAAACCAAGGAAAATCAAATATTAAACCTCTCTGTGAGGGGCAGTACCTGTTTTCAGTCTCTTTGCGGGAATCTCCTCAGGATCTTCCACAGGTGACAGAACACTGAAGGGAGAGCAGACAGAACAATGTTTTGCAACCACAATTCAGTTCCCAGCAGGCTTCACAGGGCCCAAACTTCCAAAGGTGGCTTTCCTATTTCCCCAGGATCATCTCCCAGAGAGTTGATCATCCCACTAAAGCAGGTCAGGCCTCATTTTCTCCTTCTATTAATGCTTCCACGTGTTTTATCTTTGTTCCTAGCACCAAAAAATGCCTTAATACATAATGCTTTCCTCATTCCTCCAGGAAAGAAGCACTCCACAGGTCACTAAGCCCTCCCATTTCATGTCACTACACTGAGTCGCAAAGGAAAGTTTAAGCAGAACAGGAAAGGAAAGGTGGGAAAGCCAGTCCTGCTTACATCCACTCCAGTAACTTCCTGCTGAGTCAGCGCTCGGGAACAAATCCTTGAAACAATTACCAGCCTCACCCTTTCTCAGAAGCCTAAATACACGGATTTTTATCCGTTGATACCATCATTAAGTCCGGTAAAAACGTCTCCTTTAGGAACAGAGCACAAAGAGCGTTCCTATTTTTATTTTTCTATCCCCCCAGGAGCTAATTCCTTTTGAGCTGCTCCTCGGTGAAAACTACTCGTGCGACACGCGGCTCTTTCAGAGACATTCCCTTGTCTCTTTCACTCTGGAATGGGACACCAAGCAAGTTTGTCCCGGAGGGAGCAGCCACACAGCACAGGGTGTGATCCATACATTGCAAGCAGCAGGCTCAGAGATGGTTCGGCCAGCCTCATCGGGAGCAAAACAGTCAATGCCTGGAAAAGCGTCCTTCTTTTATTCACATTCCATGAGGTCCCTCCAGCCAACATAAGCACAGAGGCGTGTGTACCTTTGTCTGCCCCTCCAACACTCTGCCCTAAAGCTCCCTCCCTTTTCTGCTTTCCCTTCTTTCCAAGCCCGCACCATGCAGGAACGAAGGGCCCATGGGTTTGCTAGGAACACCTGAGACCTGCAATCACCTCAGCAGCAGGGATTTATCAGGAGTATGTGGGACCCACAACCACACCTGAGTGTGCGGACACGCTCATGGGGAACACCTGGGATTTATCAGGAATTGCCGACACCCACACGGAGAGCCCGGGGCCGTGCGGACACCGGCCGGGCCGAGCGGCGGAGCGGAGGCGCGGCGGGAAGGGCTGACCTGGGGTTCGGCTTCTTTCGGGACGGCGGCTCCGGGCTGAGGGTGAGGGCCGGAGCCGGAGCCGGGGCCTGGCGGGCGGCGTCGCGGAGGGCGCGGAGGACCGCGAGCAGCCATTGGTACATGGACCGCGCGCACTTCCGGCGCCAGGCCCCGCCCCCCGCCCCGCCGCCAACGGCGGCCACGCCCCGCCCACCGCCATGATGGCCCCGCCCACAGCAGCATACTCCCCCTCAAAGCGCCCCGCCCACAGCCGTGCTGACCCCGCCCACAGCCGTGCTGACCCCGCCCACAGCGCCACAGGCCCCGCCTCCGAACGCCCCGCCCACAACCACCCAAGCCCCGCCCGCCGCCCCATAGGCCCCGCCCCCGTGTCCCTCACCTGGCCCCGCCCCTCTCGCGCCCGTTCCCTGAGCGCGCCCCGCGGGATGGAACCATGCGCGCGTGCGCTACGCAACAATCCCCGGCCGAAATTTGGGTTATTTCTGCCCATTCTGCTCCTGTCCCGTCCCGTTTCTTTTCCCCCCCGACTCACCCCAGCTGGCCCTAACAGCGCTACCACGGCTGCGCCATGAGCTCTGCCCTCTCCTAAAATCAGGAGCTTTCCCTACTCCAGGAGTCAGGAGCTTTGTCCCCTTGGAGGGTCAGGAGCTTTGTCCCCCTGGAGGTTCAGGAGCTTTCCCTGCTCCAGGATTCAGGAGCTTTGTCCCTGTGGAGGGTCAGGAGCTTTGTCCCTTTGGAGGGTCAGGAGCTTTCCCTGCTCCAGGAGTCAGGCCCTTTGTCCCCGTGGAGGGTCAGGAGCTTTCCCCGCTCCAAGACTCGGTCGGGCTTTGGTGGGGACCTGGCGTGGGGAGCTCTCCGGGGGGTCCCTGCGGGCGCTGGGACTGGCTGGGCATTTCCCGATACTCTGCTGCTTTCCCAGGACTCCGGGGGGCAGAACCCCCGGCATCCCAGTAAAAGCAGGGACTGGCCCCTGTGTCCCCCGTCCCTCCCTCCCTCTCCGTGTCCCCGGGGCGGGATCCCCTCCCCGGCGCTCACCGAGCCGCGCTGGGCTCACGGCGTTGCTTTCTTTTCCTCGGCATCGCTATCGCTTGCTGCTGTCGCGACCGAACCGCGACTGAACCGCGACCGCGACTGAACCGCGTCCGAGCGCAACCGCGACCGAACCGCGACTGAACCCAACCGCGTCCGAGCTCAACCGCGACCGAACCGCGATCGAACGCAACCGCGTCCGGACGCGACGCGGGGCTCGAGCCGGGGGTTCCATCGCGAGGGGCGGGCGGTACCGCGGGGCTCGCCCGGTGCCCGCGCCCGGAGCCCCGGGAATGGCCCCGCTCCCCGCGCCGGGCCGGCCGGTAAATGCCTTGCCCATCACCGAGAAGGAACTTTTTTGGGAGCTCGGGAACAACTCAAGGAGCCCAACCCCATTCAGGGGCACTGTGGCCGCCTGAAGTACCAGATTTAAAGGAACATGTAAAAATTTTCCTGATAAATTGGTATCTCCTGGCTAATGAATACGTGTAGATAATTGAGCCAGGCGTGCACCTAAAGGCAGAGTTATCCCTCGAGCATCCAGCACCGGAATAAAGTAATGTCTGCTCCTTAATACTCCATTGGGGTTTTAGGAATTTTTAAAACTCCTACTGTTTAGGAGTTTTATTCCCGAATTTCGGTGACAAAATGTTTTTTAAATGCTTTTCCTGTTGCTACCCAGCTCCTTGCTCCAAGCTGGCTCCAGCATCTTACTCAGATGCAAAAAGGATTTTTAAAGGAAAGCAGGGAAAAAAATGGGCAGATTAAAAAAGAGCTTTGGGGCAGCTTTTCCAGGAGGTCCCGCAGGGAATCTAAAGGGTGGTGGGGTCTGTTTTAATTAAAACCTTCCTGGTTATGTCAGGAGTTTAATTTCCAGGCTTCAGGCCTCAAGGAAGGAGCCTGAACTGGGATGCAGAGCCCAGCAGAGGGCACGGCAGCCCCACGCAGGACCTGCCTGTCAATCCCTTCCTCATCCTCCCCGCACAGGGGAAGGATTTCAGGGCTGTCAAATGATTTTGAACGCCTGTGACTGGGTTTTCGTGAGACGGGGACTTGCCTGACTGTGTCTGTGGGGTGGGAGTGATCACTGCACATCCAAGTCCCTGTAACCTGTGAAGCTGGAACGGTTTATCCCAGACAAAGGATAACTAACAGGGAATTATGTGAGCTGGTTCCCTTTTTCACAGTGTTATATGCAGACTACCACGATCTCTGAAACATCAGTAACCAAATACATGAATAAATCAAACTTTAATTAAAATACTGCCACCAAACGTTCTTCTTGTATTGCTTTCCATGTAGCAAAAATTTCCCTTTTTTCTTTTTTTTTTTTTTCCAAAATCATAACAACGAGTGTCTGTGTTGTAACTCCTGCTCCTTCCCAGGGCAGTTTGACGTCGGCTGCGTTTCCCAATCCCTGCATTTTTGCAGCTTCTGGTTCCCTCCATGACTTCATCCTTATTCTGCTCCTGAGCATCTTGCTCAGAGCACTGACGTGTTGTGACTCAAAGTGATGATATTTGATGCACGCAAACCAAAATCCAGTTCCTGGCTAAACACACCTGGATCACATCTGTCCCATCTCTGACTGCAGAGGGAGAGCAGAGAATTTTCATAAATAAGTATTAATTATGGCTCATTATTTATGTATTGCTCAAAGCGTCTCTACCTTTAAGTGCAGCTTCCCTGTGAAAGCAGTGGGGTTCCAATAGCTGGTGTTAAAAATTATTGGGATAACAAAGTAATTCCACTGAGTAGTTAATTTGGGAAATGATGATGATTCTAGGCACACACATGATTTTAGTGATATAAAGCCAAATAGGCTTAATCTGTAATTTAAATCCCTTTATTTTACACGAGTGCAGGATGCCAGGTGGAACAGCTGTGCCTGTAGGGCAGGTGGTTAACCTGGATGGAGGGGGAGGAAGGGGAAGGGAAAGGAAAAGGAAGGTAAAGAAGAGGAAAAGGAAGTTATGGGAAGGCAAAGCAAGGGGTGGGAAATGAAGGCATGATAAAGGAAGACAAGGGAAAGGGAAAGGATAGGAAGGCATGGCAAGGTAAGAGTGGAAACCAAGGGAAAGAAAAGTAAGGGATGGGGGGGAATGGAAAGGCAAGTAAGGAAAGGCAAGGCAGGACAGAGGGCAGCTGAAGCAGCTGGACAGGTCTCCCAGCCCCGTTCTGAGGACAGGATGGGAAGTTCCACCTGCCCTAGTATTTCCCCACCTCCCACTCCCAGGCTCTCACAGCCAGGAGCTGAGCCCATGGTGGGCAGAAGGTGCCCAGGATGAGCAGCCAGAGGTCTTCAAAGGCATCTCCACTCTGAACTTGGGAGCCCTTGGGAATTCTCCTGGTGTGAAGGCAGAGTCCTCCAGCTTGCCCAGTGTCTGGCGTGGGTGACAGCAATGGCCCTCCTGACACCAGGGGGTGAACCTGAACCCCACACTCCAGGGAGTTTATCCCTGACCGTCTACACTGTGAGCAAAGGATTATCCCTGACCATTCCTTCCAGACCCACCACTCTGTTTCAGCAGCAGCTGCTGGACCCTCTGGTCCCTGGGCAGTGTGTAGTGCTTATCTCCCTTGGGATGGCCTCTCCAGTGACTTCAGATGGGAATTGCCAAGCTGGAAGCCACTTGGAAAAGCCCTGGAAAGGGACGGTGCTGGCTTCTGGGAAAGGGCTGCACACTCAAATCAGCCCTGGCAGTGTTCAGAGAATGCTGAAACCATCCACATTAAAGCCAATGTTTACTGGGACAAAACCAGCTCCTGAAGGCTGCATCCATGTCCCAGCCATGAGCTGGACATGAGTTGGAAAGTCCTGGACTGCTGCTGGTGATGAGCAGAGGAAAGAGAGGAGGAGCACAAGGAACTGCTTGCAGGAACGATATGATGTGCTCAGATGCAAACCCTCAATCATACCAGCCATAATCCTACACCTGTACCCCATGGAGCATCCCCACAGCCATGGGGAACTCTGGGAAAGCTTGGGCTGCAGGAGGGGGACTGGGGTGAGATTTTGGAGCAGGCAGCTCCATTCGTGCCTGAGCATGGGCTGCACTTTGGGATAAGTAATAGGTTGCCTGGGGAATTTGTGGCTGCCCCATCACTGGGAGTGTCCAAGGCCAGGTTGGACAGGGCTTGGAGCAACCTGGGAGAGTGGAAGGTGTCCCTGCCCGTGGCAAGGGGTGAAGCTGAGTGGGCTTTAAGGTCCCTTTTGACCCAAATCATTCCATGATTCTGTGATCTTAAACACAGACTTCCCTTTAACTCTCACTTTCGCCAGGTGATTTATTTCCCTATCAGTCTGCTCTTCCAGAAACCATCCATGAGTGCAAGCCAGAGCATCCTGCAGGGACAAGCCACTGGCAGCTGGATTTAGAACAGAAACAGGTAAGGTCCAAAGTAACAGGTGAGGTCCAATTCCACTCTCTGTGCTGTGGTTTGCAGAAAGATGAGACAGGAGCCTTTCTACAGCCCCCAACCTTTTCAGAGGGAGGATATTTCCAGCTCACAAAAATTTCAGAGCCCTCTTGCTTTGTCACCGTGCAGGAACAGGACGCCACCCCCCAGCAGAGGCTGTCCAGAGCCCTACCCAGCCTGGCCTTGGACACTTCCAGGGATGGCAGCTCCCTCTTGCCTTTCTCATGTCAAATCTGTAAACCAAAATGTCACTGTCGGACAGCAAAGTTGTGGCTTCTCCTGGGCTGGGACATGGGACTGGAGAGGATGGGAGTGTTCCCATTCTGTCCAGAGCCTTCAGGGCAGGATGGGAGCTGACAGGGATCACCACAGCACCGCTCTGAGCCCGGGGGTCTCAGGGCTGGAGCTGGAGCAGAGGCTCTCTCTGCTCCCCTGGGCTCGGATTCAGCCCTCCCTTTATTCAGAGCGACCCTGCCTGGCTCACTCAGGAGCGGGGCTG